ACAAAATTACATTTGTCTAGCGCCTTTCACGTCGGAAGGACGTCCCAAGGCGCTGGACAGACAGAGTTTCGGACTCGAGCTGGGAGTTATAATAATAATAATCGGGGAGGGTGGAGGGCAGTGGTGAATCAGGGAGATCGAAAGCGCAGTCGAGGGTCTTGAAGAAGGCAAGGGAGGGGGCGAGGCGGAGGTTTCGTTTATTACAAAACAGGTTTTGTTTATTTGTGTATTACAAAAAGGGAATTCTGGTAATGTGCAACAGTATCGGGCAACTCAGAAAAATGCATCATTTGCTTAAGGTTTGTTTTAACAGAGTCAAAATTATGACACCCCCACCGCATGTATCTTAGTAATGCATTCTAGTGCATCTGATCAGCCCTATATCCGGTTAGCTCAATTGGTACCATTCTCACCTTTAGTTAGAAGGTTTGTATACGTTACACCTGGTTTCCAATCATTCTTTGAATTTTTTAATATAAAATTGCCATCCTTTGTGTAATCAAGTGATCATACTGTTAGCTTGTGCACATGGCAATAAGTACGGTACGCGGATTAAACATGGAAGTGTAGTTTTTTTTAAAATCAGGCTTGTGGGGCCCATTTATTGCTGATTCTACCACAATCAACAAGAGCTACAGCAATTGTGCTATGTTTTTGCTTCACACTCTTGCCACTCAGTTTCATTGCCACGGGAAATTATACGTTAATTTTTAAAAAGATATTTCTCTCAAACCTGATGGAGAAAATTAAATCAGCAGTGCCTATGTGTGGTTTTGAATTATAACATGCGCAGGGGTATTTCCTGTTTAAAAATGCTGAACTGTTTCGGGACTTTTTCCACTCTGCAGTGCTTTAACATCAGCAATTATTAAAAACAGCTTCCTCAACAAATTACTTCCCCTACAAAAAAAAATTAGCTTTAATTTTTTTTTCACACAGGGAATTCTGTCCATGTCTATTTTTAAAAGAATGCTGACTTTTGATTACATTATCGGGGGGACTTGATTTTTTCCTCCATCTTCCCCTTTTTGTCTTCAGGTGGTGAGCAATGGGGAAAACTGGCTTATGGGAATGTCAGTGAGCATCAAAGAATCTTTCAACCAACACTTGTATGTAAATGATTAACAAAAAAACAACTGATCAGTATATGGAGATGTGTATCTCTGACAGCATTTGCAGGTTGGATTTGAGAGCACATGTGGAGACTTTATCCTTCACTCCTGGACAAATAATTTACTTGATATTTTGGATTTTAAGTCACAATTATTAGTCAAATGATCATCGTAACTATGGTTCTCTTCTACCATTTATATTACAGAAAGGAACAAAACATAAATAATCCTAACATTTCCCACAGAGCTTATGAAAAGCTTTGAAACGTTTCAAAGTACATCAGAAGCAACTGTGGTTTATTGTAGTGTATTTGAAGGGAAACATAGTGGGTCCCACGAGCAACTGTGAAACAAATGATTAATTTATTTGAACCAGAAGTGCGAGTGCTACCAATTGAACCAGGCTGATATGAGATGTTTTGAGCTGGCTACAGGAAGGAGCTGGATGTTCAGGGTGAGCACTGATGGTCCAGCACCTTGGGACGTCCTCCCGACGTGAAAGATGCTATACAAATGCAATTTTGTTTTATTGTTTTTGTTATTGTTCCATGCGCTGTTTCTCCCTCACCTCCCAGTTTGGTACCATAACTAATCCCACCCAGGCCATGAATATTGTCCGGTTGAGGTGACTTGTTCTTGTAACCTATTCACTGGTCTGCTCGTAGGTACCCGTCAATCACCAGAGGAGCTCTAGTAAAAGTTGCCCCAATGCTCAATGGGGGATTAAGAATGCATACTTGAAACATTGCCAAAGTGATGATGGTCCTCTGAACATAGGCAAACCCTTGCCCCACCCACTTCAGGTAAGGCCCTTCACACCTGCCCTCGGCGCAGGGCAAAACACAACACCTTACATTTCAGCAACTTGCGCAAGCCGGAGACACAGCTCCAAACCTTTCTTCTCTCCTCATAACAGGACCTCAGCTAATTCAAGGTTCTTGTGGGAGGCATTCAGCCTTTTTTTTAAGATTTTATTTGTCAGTAAGCGATTGCAGTGGACAAGCAGCCCAGTCTCAGATGCAAAGCAAAACACAGCTGCATCTTTTTTTTCCAACGAGCCTAACATGTCTCAGTTCATTTAACAGGTTACAGTGATGTGTGTGCGTGTGTGTGTGTGCGTGCGCGTGTGTGCGGGTGGGTGGGTGGGTGGGGCTGATCCGGTCAAATTGAATCATTAATGTAAAAATATATAGAAGTTAGTTTCACTTCCATCCAAAGTGGATGTTAGCTGAAATGTGGAGGTGTTCCATTTAAAGGCTACTTCCTATGTGAACAATAAGTGTAATTTTTGCCCAGCTTGTCAATATTCCGGCAAAAGACTGAATGGTAAGGGATTTTTTTGGTGAGTGAGGTAGTCATCACTCAACCCCCCACTAAGCTGAATTAGACTGAATCCTGTTTCTCAAATGGAACCTAAATGTCCCCCAAACAACCATTTCCCCCTCCGCCCCCCAAATCTGGGCCCCAGATGACGTGGACCTCATTCCTTACTCACAACTACTTGAGCAAGTCAAGTGACAGGATCGCTTCTCTGACCCGGTCAACTTGGCCTGAGCCCGGTGACCAAGGGCTCAAGGCAGATAGATGTGTGTTCCTGTTTCTCCGCTCCTCTTTGTGAGGGCGGATCAAACTCCTCAGATCAGGTCTCCACCCTCTTGATCCCAGCCGACAGAAGCTCTACCCCCCCACACCACACACACATAAATCAAGGGGGTTCAGGTCATGCTGTCCCTACATAATTGCGCCTCAAAAGGTGAGCACTGCCAGGCGCACCGGCCAAAAAATAACTGGTAAGAACAAAAACATGTATGCGGTGAGCAAGATTGGGGCACCCACTCACCCCTCTAAACCGAATTAGACCGAATCACGTTCCTGAAAAGGGAGAGTTGTTTCCCATTGCATTTGCCCTCCCCACCCCCCCTCACCTCCCCCACTCCACTCCCAACCACACACAAAAGCTGGGTGCCAAATCGACAAAGGAAGACACGGATCTGATTGCTTTCTTCACGACCACCCGAGCAAATCAGGTAACAAGGATGGCCGCTGCGGTCCGGGGCAAACCCTGGCCTGGTCCTATTGACCCAACCCTGGAGCTGTGGTAAACCTGTCCACATCCCACCCATAAAGGGGGGCGGTGGGGGGGAATGGCTGAGAGAGGGATGTTGGGCGAACAGCGGGAACTTTACCGCACTTGATCTCAGCCAAAAGGCCCGGAAGGAAAGCGCGCGCGTGTGTGTGTGTGTGTGTGTGTACACAGGTTCAGTTTGCGTCTATAAAACAGAAATAGGTCACCAATCTCCTCCTCCTCCTCCTCCTCTCTGACATCACCATCAAAGAGACTCAGATCTTATGTCAAAGACTGTGTGTGTGTGCGTGTGTTTGCTTCTCACCCTCCAAACAGCACCCACCCACCCCACCCCCTCCCCACCCACCCCCACCCATACAATCTTACAACTCGACAAGGTGCGCATTCTTTTTGCTGGGGAGTGAGTGAGTGAGTGATGAGTGAGTGAAGGAGGAGAGAGAGGAGGGAGAGAGAGGGAGGAGGGAGAGAGAGGAGGGAGGGAGGGAGGAGGGAGAGAGGAAGAGAGTGAGGAGGGAGGGAGGAGGGAGGGGAGGAGAGAGGAAGGGAGAGAGGAGGGAGGAAGGAGGAAAGAGGGTGGGAGGAGGAGGAGAGGAGGAGAGGGAGAGAGTGAGGAGGGAGGGAGGAGGAGAGAGGGAGGAGGGAGGGAGGGAGAGAGGAGAGAGGAAGGGAGAGAGGAGGGAGGAAGGAGGAAAGAGGGAGGGAGGGAGGAGGAGGAGAGGGAGAGAGTGAGGAGGGAGGGAGGGAGGAGGAGGGAGGGAGGAATGGACCTCCCCATCCTCTCCTTTTCATTCAAAACCTCTCTCTCTCTCTCACACACACACACACACACCCCCAACAAAAACAACAACGCTTACACTTCCGGATCGTGGTCGGGGAGTGACTGTACTTCCTGGAATAACTTCACCCCCAAAAAAAAGAGCCAAGTGGAAAAAACGATGAATAATTCACGTTTTTTTTTCTCTTTCTCTCTCTCTTTCTCTCTCTCTCTCTCTCACCCCTGTTTTTTTTTAAATGCTGTTTAAAACACACACAGAACACACCACCACCACCCAAACCCACCCACTGGATGTATCCATTTGGGGGCTTCGCTACACTGTCGCCCCCCTCCCACCCCCCCCACACCCCCCCACACACACACACACCCCCCACACCCCCCGCGGTGGGTAACACTGTATCGCTTTGTTTTCTCGTTCCCTTCGTTTCCGATCTTCGTAACTTGCTACAAAGTTACATCACCGCCTGTGACCATCAGACACCACAGACACCACTCACACTCACTCACTCTCTCTCACACACTCACTCACTCACTCACACACTCACTCGCCCTCACACACGATACAATATTTTTGTTGGGAGGGGGAGGGTGGGGTGGAGAGGGTGGGTGGGTGGGGGGGGTGCAATTGTGGGGATGTGGGTGTGGTGTGTGTGTGGGGGGGGGGGGTTGTGTGTGTGGGTGTGTGTGGGGGGGGGTGTGATTGTGTGGGTGTGGGTGTGTGTGTGTGGGGGGGGGTGTTTGTGTGGGTGTGTGTGTGGGTGTGTGTGTGTGGGGGGGGGTGTGTGTGTGGGGGGGGTGTGATTGTGTGGGTGTGGGGGTGTGTGTGGGTGTGTGTGTGGGGGGGGGGTGGGGGGGGGTGTGTGTGGGGGGGGGGTGTGATTGTGTGGGTGTTGGGGTGTGTGTGTGTGGGGGGGGTGTGATTGTGTGGGTGTTGGGGTGTGTGTGTGTGTGTGGGGGTGTGATTGTGTGTGTGTGGGGGGGTTGTGGGGGGTGGGGGGGGTTTGATTGGGGGAAGAAAAGGAATTACCTTATTATTTCCGATCCTCTCAGTTCTGGTTCATAACCTCAACGTTGAAGTCCGGGGTTTTGATGCCAGAAATAATCCCAAAGCCGAGCTCCAGATGGGGGTGGGGGTGGGGGTGAGGGTGGGGGTGAGGGGTGAGGGTGGGGGTGAGGGTGGGGGTGAGGGTGGGGGTGAGGGTGGGGGGTGAGGGTGGGGGTGAGGGTGAGGGGTGAGGGTGAGGGTGAGCCCATCAAACAGAAAAGGAGTCCTTCCCGATTCTCTCAGAGCCACAAACAATGTCTGTTAACAGTCGGTGTCGTCAGTCAGTCCGTGTCTCGACTTCGCTCCGCTGTGCCGACAATGTGTCTGTCTGTCTGTGTGTCTGTCTGATGTCTGTGTGTGTGTGTCTGTCTGTGTGTGTCTGTCTGTGTGTGTCTGTCTCTGTGTGTTTATGGGTGTGTCTGTATCTGTCTGTGTGTCTGTCTATCTGTGTGTCTGTCTGTGTGTGTGTGTCTGTCTATCTGTGTGTCTGTGTGGGTCTGTCTGTCTGTGTGGGTGTCTGTCTGTCTGTCTGTGTGTTTCTGTGTGTCTGTCTGTGTGTGTCTGTCTGTATCTGTCTGTGTGTGTCTGTCTATCTGTGTGTCTGTGTGGGTCTGTCTGTCTGTCTGTGTGTGTCTGTCTGTCTGTGTGTGTCTGTCTGTCTGTGTGTGTGTGTCTGTGTGGGTCTGTCTGTCTGTCTGTCTGTGTGTGTGTGTGTGTGTGTCTGTCTGTGTGTGTCTGTGTGGTGTCTGTCTGTGTGGTGTCTGTCTGTCTGTGTGGGTGTCTGTGTCTGTCTGTGTGTGTGTCTGTCTGTCTGTGGGGAAAAGTAGAGGGAGTAGTTATGGTTTTGTGTGTGTGTGTGGGGTTGGGGGAGGGGGGTGTGGGGTGGGGTGGGTGTTGTCTAGACGGGAGGTGACAAAGGTGTGAATCATGTTCAAATCCATTTACTCTCTGGCACCTCCCTACGTCTCCAACCGCCGTTCTCCCCAATCCACCACCCGGCGCCTCCGCTCGACTGGCAGCAGCCTCCTGCTCGTCCCTCGCAACGTCCGCCCCACCATCGGAAGTCGCACTTTCAGACACTATGCCCCAAAACTCTGGAACACTCTCGGCCAATCCCTCCGCCTCGCTCCCTCTCTCCCCTCTTTCTAGTCCTGCCTGAAGACTTTCCTCTTCGACCTTGCTGATGGCCACCTCCCCTACTTCTCCCCCCACCCCCGGCTCAGAGTCAGGCTCTGCCACTTGTTAAGCGCTCTGAGACGTTACCCTGCATGGAGGGCGCTATGTAAGTGCAAGTTGTTGTTGTATGAATGAGGATTTTGTTCCTTCTGATTGCCACAAAGGAGATTTATAGCAAAACCTGCCAAACCAGTTTGGTTGCAACTGTTGTTTCCTTAACAGTTGATGGAGGTGCATCCTCCCATCTGTGTGCTATTGCACGCACGGTTATAAACTTCAAAAGGAACTGCAGGAACTGTGAACAAAGCGGTGAGCTCATTACCAGCAGAAGGCTTAAGCAATAGTTATGCTGCTCTGACGGAATTATGCTGATATCGTCCCCCCCACCCCCCCAAACAGGCTACGGTTAACATCTCATTAAGGTGAGTCGTAGACCCTGCAGAGTACTAGACTGATCACTTGCTCTACTATGCTCCTGCAGAGTGCCTAGTCCAAGCCCTCGATTTCATATTCCCAAGAGTATCATCAATGAAATAACTTGCTCTCATATTACGGTTTCTTAATGCGTCCACAGCTCTGTTGGCTCTTACGCACACAATGCAATCCTGGCATAAACAACTGCTACTCAATGCACACGGACCCAGAACCTGATGGGTTTAATTCTCAGTCTGTTGCTGAGTTAGCTGATGTAAGTCAGGGCAGGAGTAAGGATGCTATCAGATGTTTCAGCCCACAAAATATATAGTCAATTCGCCTTACAGTGTATCCTGTGAAGCACTTTGAGACGTCTCGAAGATGTGATAAAATGATAAATCAAACGCAAAAATTATGATTATTATACTAAAACTGGGCCCAAATCTGTCAGGATTCCACTCTTCGGAACTGCTGGAAAAATACGGAGCTAAGGATAGTAAGGGATTTGGCTACAATACTTTCCTTCTCTTTCCCCTCCCAGCCCAACTCCCTCGTCGACTTACACAGTGCAGTTTACAGGCTCCTATGTGAAGAAGACACTTGGTCAAAATGCTGATGAGAGGCTCCAGCCACAGAATTGTACTCGAGCCAGAGTCAGCACTTTTAGGGGAAGAAGGAAAAAAAAATCACTTCAAGCAGTTTGTAGTCCGCAAAGTGAAAACATCTGGACGATCACCGACCGGCAAGCACGCTCTTCCCAGGGTTTACTGCGGTCAAAACCCGTTACCTTGGAAATGGAAATGCAGCGCAGACATCTGCTTGCAATCTCCATTTACACTGTGTTGGCACCAAATACATATTGGAAAGAGAACTTTGTCTTAAAGTTAGGTGCATCTCTATTCTGTGTGTGTGTGTGTGTGTGTGTAAGAGAGAGAAAGATCAGAGCAGAATAGTTGGAAGAAAACAGCACAAGTAAGGGAATTGAATGAATACTTTGATTGTATTTGGAAAGTGTGGGAAAAGAGCAGGGGAAACGGTTATAGAATACTTACTAGTAATCCGTGCATTTGATATAGGGCCTTTCATATCGGGAGGAAGTTTCAAAGTGCTTCAGAGGATATATTGATTTAATGTAAAGTCCAGTGACCATGCATTTTGCAGACAAATTGTAAAAGGGCAGGGGAATGCGCTTAAAGTAAATAGCATCATTAAAAGAGCTATCACCAGCACAGACACGATTCACTGAGTGGCCTCCTGTGCTATAAACAATGCTATATTCTGTACTATATTCAAGCGCATCCCTGAATTGGAGCAGGTACAGAATTTCCCATTTAGAAAAATGGTTTGTTAGTTACAGTAGGATGTGGGGTGTTGGACTGAAAAATAGATTACCCACTGATATAAGACTATCGTAATCTTAAAACCACAGAAGCATCCTGACCTCTAGTCATGGGATATGTGGGCAGACGTGAGAACACCAATTTGTTTCATATCATTGCCCTTCGCACTCAGAATTCCAGATGTAACTGTGGTTTTGTACAGGAATATAAATATTTCTCAGTTCTGTTGATCATTGGAGACTTATCAGCGGACAAAGTCGTGGGAGAGCAGCCTGGGTGTAATCTCGCACTGGCAGACAGAGAGTGAAAAAGGATCACAGGAGGGATAATTGAAATTGGGAATGATTTGTGATAAAAGCTCCAATTACTATAATACTTAATAGTACTGAATACTAATAATCCTTGCATTTGGTATCGCGCCTCATCACATCGTTGAGACGTCTCAAAGTGTTTAACAGGATATACCGTAAAGTGGATTGAGTGTGTATTTTGTGGGTGAAACTGTGCAGCGTGCCCTCAGCCCTGCACAGACGTGTCAGGCGAGACTGTGAGTTTCAAGTGTTGAGGTGAGACTGCGACTAACTGAGCCAGGCAAGACGCCAATTGGTTGGGACGCGAGAGAGTGAGGGAGCGATGCTGAACGTAAAAAAATACAAGACCGGAATAAAGACGGCAATTACAGGAGGAGGGAGATGCGAGTAATTAATGGGAGGTTGCAGTGCAACGAGAAAACCGAGGCGTAATTGGCTTAGTGGTTCTGGTGAGATCGTAGGTGGTGAGATACAAGCTGCTGTTAAGCTGTTGGCTGAGAGAGCTGCAGATGACTAGGGGTGGAATTCAGCAGCCTCTCACAGGATGCTATTCAATACTTTTGTCAGCCGTCCAACAAAACTTGTTAACCTCTTAAGAGGATTTGTTAAGATAAAATTGAGTTGCTCTCATTGCATCATCATCATCATCATCACCAATAACAACAACTTGCATTTACAGAGCGCCCTTCGCAAAGGGGCAGGGGCCTGGAGCGCTGTACAGTAGATGTCACGGCAATTTAAATTATATTGTAACTTTTATGTCGAGGAACACTCACTTCTGTCATTGTGTATGTACATCAGCCCATCTTCCCTAAAAAGCGAGCATTTCTATAGCATCGCTCGTGCAGGGTAGTGTCACAGAGCACTTAAATAAGGATAACCCTTAAAGAGAAGCAGACATGTATTTTTTCAAAGTGCTCCCCACATTTCCTGAAGGAAAATTAGTGCCAACAGAACTTGTTCTTTTCGCCTGTTTTCTGCTCACTCAGTCAGGTCATTCACTGTTGACTGGCAGCGCCTTTCCCCTTAACCTTGCAATCTGATATCCCTGCAAAGCCATTGATGAGGTTTAACGTTGCAGGAGTGCTGACTTAATGCTCCAGGGTGCAGAGTGAGCAGGCGGCGTGTAAACATATTCAGTTCTCCTCTCCCACCACTCGCAAGTCCCGCGATTGCAATCCTGGTTCTCTCCAGTGGCACTCAATAAGCCGCTGCCACAAAGTGTTGAGGAAAGGATAACGAGGGCAGTGGGCGTCCTCCCGATTACTCCCACAATCCCGTCCTGTCTAGCACAGATTGGAAACCAGAAATCCACATTAGAAGAGGGAGATAGGCAGCCCTAGCAATACATAGTAAAGTAATATTAGCATCCTTACAGCTTGTCCTTTTCACCACTCGGAGTGCTTGCAGTAGCAGAGGCAGAGTTAGGTCAGGGGTGCTCTATTTATAAAGCTGCTTTGGCAGCCCAGCTCCCCTCAGGCTGCCTCCCAGGAGGTCATGTTTGCTCCAAGCTTCCTCCGCCACTGAATCTACATGATAGCAAAGTTGTTTATTTTTCCCTCATGTCAGGAAGGTACATTTCTAAATAAGAGCTCCCTTTGTACAAACAGAAAATACTACTCACAGTTAATCTCCCTGGCATTTCACATGATCCAACAGCCTTCCTCTCTGTACTACGGATAGTTTCCATTTTATTTGATAGGAAAGCAAGTTAAAGAGATTCTGGTAAAGCTTTAAATAATTATAATAATCCTTACATTTGGTATAGCACCATTCATATCAGGATTTTAAAAGCCCTTCAG